CAGACCCATCTGTCCTGATGGAGGAGGCAGGAGGGGCTTTCGCAGGAACGGGGCTCAGCGAGGACAGGTACAGGTGTGGAGGATGTGCCAGGAAAGGAAGCGAGTTGATGCTCCCAGTCTCAGGGCTATGAAAGTCCTGCAGATTGCTGGCAGCATTGGGGCACGGGAGACTCCCATCATTTATCAGAGGTCCACGTTTCCTTCTAGGGAAGTCACATCCTTGGGCAGGACCCTCTTAATTAGCTTCTCTCCAGTGTCCTCTCACATCCCCCTTCTTCCTCCCTCACTCCTGCCCCACTGGCTTTCTCCCCATTTCTGGAACAGAAATTCTTCCCTATCAGGGCTTCTTACCTGGGCTTCCTCTGCCCATGTGCTCCTCTCCCATAGCTTCCCAATGCTCAGCCAATCAGGTGGAGGGGCCAGGACTTCACAGTCTTCAGTGGAATTATCCCTTCCCAGAGGTCCTCCTGCCACCCGTCTAAGCCGGTTCCTCCTGAGCGCCCCCATCATTTCATCCACCTGCCTTCCTCCTCATCCCAGCACCTCACACTTTCTGAAATCTCCATTTTTATTCTAATTATTTATGAGCTCTCTCTTCCCTAGGATATAAGAGACTTCACAAAAGAGACTGTGTCTGTCTTGTTCACCCCGGTACCCCTGACATCTAGAACAGTGCCTGGAACATAGTAGGCGTTCAATGTACATACACTGGATGAGAAAATAAACACATTTTAGGTATGTATTTTTTTTATTGTGGTAAAAAATATATATCACAAAATTTACTGTTTTGGTTGTTTTAATGTGAACAATTCTGTGACATCAATTAATTCACCATGTTGTGCAGCATCACCAGCATCTAGTTTTCCATCCAAAACTTTTCCATCACCCCTGCTGGGGCTCAGGACACACCACTCCAAAATATGCCTGTAGGAGACCAGAATATGCCACCCCAAAATATACTTCTTTGGCATATTTTGGAACTGATTATTTTTAGAAACTGCAGACATGGGAGTAGCTCTTAAAAGCTGCCCTTTGGTAAAAGAAATTTACATCTAGACAGGAAATCTACATTAGTAAAGGTATCCACTCCTGGAAAACTTTTACTCCCCAAGAAACCTTTTATCCATGTAACAACAGTCTTTTTTCATGGCACGTTTTCTCCCCTTACCCTCCCAGAACCTGTCTCCATGCACCTCCCTCCCCCTACAGCCCATAAGAAGCTTCAAGTCCTCCTTTCTTGCTATAGCTCGGGAGATGCTATACAAGCTTCAATCACCTGGCCCTTCTTTCTTCCTTGAGCCTCATATTTTTGTGGGACTCCCATACGTAAGTCTCCCATATGTAATTAAATCTATTTTTTCCTGTTAATCTGCCTTATGTTAATTTGTAGCCCAGGCAAAGGACCTAGGATAGTGAAGGAAAGCGATTTCCCCTTTGCTTCATTCCTGAAGGAAACCTGGTTCCACCAGTACCCATTAAGCCTCATTATTATTTTAAATAGTGAGATGCTTTTCACCGTGACGGTTTGTAACAAATAACAGTGTTTAATAAATATTTTCAAGGGTGCATTTTTCCTTTCTCAAGAGCTGGCAATCCATCCTGATATTGCTACATCAATGTGCAAAGCTTCTTCAAGGAGATCACTGTGCAGAATGCATTAGGCTTGTAAATTCAACCAGCTGTGGAGTAAAACTCACGGAAAGACTGTCCTACATAGGTTCCTCACGTATTTCAAAATCCCTGGGGCAACATACTCAAGAGTTTATCATTTAAAATTGAGGTAATAGGCACTTCACATTCAGTGTGTTATGCTTAGGAAGTTATATTTGGAATTGGAAGTCAAAATCTCTGAGTGCCCATAACAGCTTTGATTTCATTGCTGTGAGATTTTTCCCCAAGTAGAAGAAACACAAGCAGTTAATGTTTAAGTAGCATTTGGGACAGCTTTTGCACTGGGGAAAATAAAATATAGAATCTGCTAAGTGGAGGGTGATTATACTTGGGTGAGTTAAAGGCTGAGGTGGTTGGAATGCCAGCCACACAACTACCTTCTTACCCCCAGGGATGGGACAGGCTCTAGAACACTGGGTGAGGAGTTTGACTGTCCAAGGAGAAGTCACAGCTAAGGGACACAGCTGAATTTAGCGGGAAGCCTCAGGGATGAGTGAGCAGTTTCTGTGTGGTTCTGTGGTTGCTCTACTGTGTGGCTTTAAGGAAGTCAGTGAGACTGTGTGGCCCAGTTCCTTTGTCCATCAAAAGAAGGTAAAGCCTCCTCCTCCTGCCTGCTCCACACTGCTCATGATTCTGCAGGCTATATAGGAAGCAAGGCTAGAGAGGCCTTAGGAAACTTACAATCATGGCAAAAAGTAAAGAGGAAGGAGTGGGAGGAAGAGAGCGTGCCACACACTTTTAAACATCCAGATGTCATAAGAACTCTATCACAAGATGGCGCTAGGGGCATAGTGCCAGCCATTAGACACTGCACCCATGATCCAATCAACTCCCACCAGGCCCGTCCTCCAACACTGGGAATTACAATTTGACCTGAGATTTGGGTGGGGACACAGAGCCACACCATATCACCTTGCCTTGTGCCTTGATTGGAAGCTACTGAAGCATTACCAGAAGCTGAGCAGATGTTTGTGCAGCCTGCAGAACCATGAACCAAATCAACCTCTTTTCTTGATAAGTTACCCAGCCTCAGGTATTCCACTACAGCAATGCAAATGGATTAATACACTGGACTTTCAGCCTCCAGAACTGTGAGAACTTCCTTTGCTTAAGCTGCCCATTCTGTGGGCTGCATTTTGCTGAGAAATTCCTTTGCTTAAGCTGCATTTTTCTTGTAGCGCCAGCAGCAGCAGACCAGTGCCTTCATGAAAACAGTTGAAGCAAGAGCCTTCCAGCTGCTCTGTCTGGAAGGAAGTGCATTTTCTGTGGTCACACACACACACACACACACACACACACTTGCACATGCACTTTTGTCTCTAAGGAAAGTACACCGTCCATACTAAAAGCCTGTGGATAATGTCAAGCACTTCAGAGTTTGAAGCCTGCATTGCATTATCTGGCCTTGAGGGAGACAGAGGCAGGGAGGCCTGGCTGTAATTCTGGTCCTCTCCTTTAATTCTTTCTTTGACATGGAAGAGAAAAAACAAGCAGGAATAGACACCGGGCAGGCGGTGATGGCGTGGCGATTCGCCCGTCGGGTGTGGAGACATCTTCTTGAGTTCGGATAATTTTACTGCATGGCTTTGGTGCAGAAACAGGCAGCTGCATGAAACATGAAACAGAAATGGCTAACTTAAGTACACAAATTTTGCATTTTATATTTAAGTCTCACTGTCCTTTAGCCAAGAGAGTCCCCGCGTCCTGTCCACCAGGTGCTCTGAGGAGGGCGGTCGCGTAAGTTGGTGCAGAGGAATGGCCGGCGTGGAGCGGGAGAGCTAGGGCTGAGAAAGTCCAGGGAGGAGATGTGGCTTTCTGTCTCTGTTTGTGGTGATCCTCCTTTTACAGGTAGGCCCTCCGTCATAAAGTCTTTGGGAGGACTTCACCGTCAGTTTAAAAGACCTACCCTAGAAACAGAGAACTCACTGTTACTGATGAGATACCATGGTGGCTGCCACGTGAAGGACAGCACGTTTCTAGGTGTCTGACCCATTTTTCCTGAAGGGTTATGATCAAAGCATCCTAACCTCCTTTGGAATTTATTCCTCCTGTCCCTCCCTTCCTCTTCCTTCCCTCCCCTCTTCCAGCTTCCTTTCTCTATCTCTCCACTTCTCACTCTCTCTCCTTCTTCTTCTTCCTCCCCATCTCTCTCTCTCTCTCTCTTCCTATTCCTGTGTAGCTCCTAATAGCTTGTGGCTTTTTCTTGCTTGTAGAATGATTTAAATTCTATAAGCTAAGTCAAAATTCAAAAGTCACTCCCAAACACCACTTCCCACACCCTGCCCACTGAGGAAAGCCCACCGTGTTTAGCTTCTACTAGAAAATTAGCATTGGTCTAAATCTTCTCCAATATTGTCTACCACTGAGAGGAAAGAGCAAGAGTTCCAGCTGAGAGGTCCGTGACCCAGACTGCTTAAGAAAAGGGGAACGCTGAACACTTCTTTTGTTCACGTCTGCTGAGTCAGATAACGGGGTTTGCTTGAAATCCCACCTTGGGAAGCCTGGGGAGGGGCAGACAGAGAAGACAGAAGATGGAGTGAATGTGAATAGTTAAGATGCGGATACTGCCCATGCTTCTGCCTATGTCCCTTGCTTGGCTGGAAGAGTGGATTGATATTCTGAGGTTCTCACCCAGAGCCTTTCCTCACTTCTATTCCTGGATGAAAATCGATACTCGCCCTTGATAACCTGGCAGCATTGACCATGCTGACTGTTCATCTTCAGCACTGCACAGGTTTCTGATAGCTGGTGCATCACTAATGGACTCATCCCTCAGAGGGCAGGAACGTGCCAGGAGGAATGTGGCACGATAAGCCTCTGCTGGCATCCCTGGACCGAGTGCAAGGCTAATTCGTGGAGTCAGAAAACATTTTCTCCATGATCAGCCAGCCCGAGGATGCTTCAGGTTCCTTACACTCTAGCTGGCAGCCAAGTCAGGTATTGGAAGAAGAACTCTCCCATTGAAGTAGAGGGTTGATGTGAATCCACTTGCGTGTTCTAAATTCGTCAGCCTGAATCTGGTGCACATCACTTCAGGGAAGTCATTAGGAAATTTTACTTGATTTCCCAAAGAATTGCTCCAAGTAGAAGTTCCCTTTTTGGAAGAATATGCAACTTTCAAAGGGAAGATCTCTCTTGTCACTGTCACTGGTGCTGGAGAAGAGCATCTTTGCTTGGCCTTAGGTTCTCAAGCCTCCAGCTCCTCCTTTTGGGTGGGGGGCCAACTGAGAGGCAGTTCCTGGGTGGGAAGCACCAGGATTCTTTGGTGGTTGAGTGTCACAAAAGGCCCGGAGTCAGCTGCAGCTCATCTAGCTGTGCCTTGAGCCGACGGTCTCAAAGAGGAAAAATCAAATCACCCACAAAAATAAGTGTTCATTTTCCAGTCATTTAGCCTCTATTGACCTCATTTGGCTTGGTTCTCTCTCTCTCTCTCTCTCTCTCTCTCTCTCTCTCTCTCTCTCTCTTTTGGTTTTGTTTAGACGGAGTCTCTGTCACCTAGGCTGGAGTGCAGGGGTGTGATCTCAGCTCACTGTAACCTCTGCCTCCCAGCTTCAAGTAATTCTCCTGCTTCAGCCTCCCAAATATCTGGGATTACAGGCACCTACTACTGTGCCGAGCTAGTTTTTGTTTTTTTAGTTGAGACAGGGTTTCCTCATGTTGGCCAGGGTGATCTTGAACTCCCAACCTCAGGTGCTCTGCCCACCTCAGCGCTCCCAAGTGCTGGGGTTACAGACATTATCCACTGTGCCTGTAAGAGGGCCTCAGTTGGCTCTCTTAACAAAACTTGAATTTTAAAAATATTCATATTCTATATTAAAGGGATTAAAAATGGCCATGTACTGTGTTTAAAACATCAAATCCTGATTCCTGTCTAACCAGTTCAGAGTGATCTTTAGGCAGGAGTCTAGGCAGAGTTGATGCTGAAAGCCCTCTCCTCGCCTTGATCATGTAATGAAAGGCGTCCTGATCCTCATGTCCTGCATATTCAGCTGGGGGTCCTCACCTCTGAGAAGCCTTCCTTGATGTTGCCTGTAGACCAGGCACTTGCCTGTTTTTCACTGTACCCTGGGGACACACAGAAGGTGAGGTCCTGAATGTCAAGGTCAGGCCCTAAATGCTGCACATAGAATATGATTTACCTGGTGTTTAAAGAGCAAAGAGAAGGGGCCGAGAGCCACGGAGTCAATATGAGTGTGATGGTTACTACTGAGTGTCAACTTGATTCGACTGAAGGATGCAAAGTATTGTTTCTGGGTGTGTCTGTGAAGGTGTTGCCAAAGATTAATATTTATGGGGTCAGTGGACTGGGAAAGGCAGACCCACGTTCAGTCTGGGTGGGCACCATCCAATCAGCTGCCAGCATGGCTGGAATAAAAGCAGGCCGAAGAACCTGAGAAGACTAGGCTGGCTCACTCTCCCGGCATACACCTTTCTCCCACGCTGGAGGCTTCCTGCCCTCGAACAACATGGAACTCCAAGTTCTTCTTTTTTTTTTTTTTTTTGTTCTTCATCTTTGAGACTCGTGAACCTTCAACTGCAGACTGAAGGCTGCACTGTCAGCTTCCCTAGTTTTGAGGTTTTGGGGCTTGGACTGGCTTCCTTGCTCCTCAGCTTGCAGATGATCTATTGTGAGACCTCACCTTGTGATCGTGTGAGTCAATACTCCTTAATAAACCCATGTTTACATACACATCTATCCTATTCTGTCCCTTTAGAGAACCATGACTAATACAATGAGCAAGTGTGTGTGAGGCTGTGCGTGAAGGGGAGAGGGATGATGAAGACACCTTTAGTGTCATGAAGGCAGAAACACTGGGGGAGAACAGAAACATTTACTGGAAATTTACCAATTCTGGTCAAATAGAAATTATTGTCTTTTCTTTCCATGAAATTTTCAGCAAAATCAAAAGTGTTTGATAATGTTTTATGGAATCAATTTTTGGGAAGGAATGAAATTAATGTTGCTTAAAACTGTTAAGCACTTAGTATGCACCACTGTATTAGTCTGTTCTTGCATTTGCTGTAGATACCTGAGACTGAGTAAGTTACAAGGAAAAGAGGTTTAATTGGCTCATGGATTTGCAGGCTGTACAAGAAGCATGGTACCGACACCTGCTTGGCTTCTGGGGAGGCCTCCAGAAGCTTCCAATTATGGCAGAAGGCGAAGGGGGAGCAAGCACACCCCATGGGGAAGGCAGGAGCAAGAGCATGAGTGGGGAGGCACCTGACACTTTCAAACAACCAGATCTTGTGAGAACTCACTCACTTCACTCACTATTGCAAGGACAATACCAATAACTCTGCCTCCATGATACACTCACCTGCCACTGGGACCCACCTGAACAATATCATTTTAATATGATATTTGAGTGGGGACACACATGTCAACCATATCAACCAGGAGCCCTTCTTAGAACCTTGCTTGTGTCAAAATGTTAAAGCATCACAACAAACCTATGAGTTATTACCACCATGCCCATTTTACAGAGGGGATCCTGAAGCTCAAGTGTGTTCGGCAGCTGTCTCAAGGTCCCTACAGACAGTTAGTGTTGGACCTGGTGTATTGGTTTCCCATTGTTGCATAAACTTAGTGGCTTAAAATATTACACATTTATTATTTTCCAGTTCTGGAGGTCAGAGGTTTAAAGTCAGGGGTGGGCAGGGCTGTGTGTCTTCTGGAGGCTCTGGCAGACCATCTGTTTCCTTCCTGATTTCAGCCTCTAGAGGTAGCTGACATTCCCTGACTCATGGCTCCTTCCACCATCTTCAAAGCACATCCCTCCTACTTCTGCTTCCATCATCCCATCTTCTCTGACTCTTCTGGCCTTGTGAGGACCTTGGACCCAACCAGGTAATCCAGGATAATCTCCCACCTAAGGATCGTTAGCTTAACCACATCTGCAAAGTCCCCTTTGCTGTGCAAGGTCACATAGTCACAGGTTCTGGGGGTTAGGATCTGGATATCTTATAGGGCCATTATTCAGCCTAATAGAGCTGGGATTTGGACGAGCTGGTTTTAGTCCCAGAGATCTAATTCCTAACCACCACACCATCCTCATCCCAGTGGAGGTAAACTGATGAATCACGCTTGGTGGTTGACAGAGGCTGGATGGCCAGCCTTATTTTGAGAGGGCAGAGAGATCTAGACTACATTTGTGTAGTAAAAGACAGAATATGCAGTGTGTTAATTGGCCAGGTAGACATTATTCTTCATTGTCTCCATACCAGCTGGTCATTCGAGCTTAGCATTTGGGGGATAAAGAGGGTTTTCTAGCAGCCAGCCAGGAGCCTTTATGTTGGAAGACAATGAGGAGGATTTGTAAAAATCCTTCCAGCTGCAAATAACAGAAAAACCAACCCCAAATAGCTAAATGTCAAGGAAAATTTGGCATCTAAGAAATCAAAATGCCCTACGTGGTGGAAGCTCCAGAAGAGGTTAATGTATAGCATCTCCAAATAAAGTCTCTGACACTTTCTGCTTCCCTGGGTCCTCAGGCTGGCTGCCCTCACTTAGGGAGATGGGGCTGAACTCCCAGGGCTGCTGTCAGGATCTAGCCATGTTCTGTGTGTCTTCTTTTCCAGCCTCTAGAGGCAGCTGACATTCCCTGGCTCATGGCTCTTTCCTCCATCTTCAAAGCATCCCAGTTCTGCTTCCACTGTCCCATCTCCTTCCCTGACTCCACCTCTTCCAGGGAATGCCCAGCACATTTTCTCTCACACCTCATTGGTCAGATCCAGGTCACATGCCTACCCCTAAACCAACCACTGGTGGTGCAAGGGACACCATGATTGGCCTAGACTATTCTAGATTTTGATCTAGACATAGATGAGGTCACCTACTCTGAGAGTGATGGATTTTGAGTCTGAAACCAACACCTTTTGCCACAGGTAGGAACGAAATGTGTGGAACAGGGAATGGGAACATGTTGGAGCTCACTCCCAGACCAGCAGTGTTTCCCAAACACACTTGTGGGGCTCAGGTTCATTCACCAGAAGGCACCTGTTCACTGAAGGAATTCAAATGGTCCCTGTGCGTGCTTGAAAGTCAGATTGTTCACTTCTTCTAGACCAGATATCCCTTGGATGGGGTAAAACACACACACAGACACAAACCCACTTACTCTGCACCACAACTTCAGTAGCAACTTAAAAAACAGTTTCAACAGGAGTATTTCAATGTATCTTTTGATAGAGCCTCAGAAAGAGGGATAATTACTTGTGAAATGGAAACATTTGCAAATAGCCATATCACTATTAAAGAGCATTACTATTTTTTTATTTTGACTTTTTGATAGACAGAAATGTACAGTGAAAATCATCAGCAGCATCTCTGCTGCTCAAACAATATGATGCTTATTGTTTCATAGTGTGGCATGCTCTTTCATATTATTTTATATTGTTGCATATTGTTTCATAGTGTTGCATAGTTTCATATTGTTACATGCTGTTTCATAGTGTTGCTTGTTGTTTTCATATTTGCATGTTTCATGGTGTTGCATATTGTTTCATATTGTTGCATGCTGTTTTCATATTGCTGCATGTTGTTTCATATTGTTGGATATTGTCACTTGTTATATTGTTGCATGTTGTTTCATATTGTAGTATGTTGTTTTCATATTGTCTTATAATGTTGTTTCATACTGTTGCATATTGTTTTTGCATTGTTTCACATTGTTGCATATTGCTTCATAGTGTTGTATATTGTTTTTATATTTCTACATGTTGCTTCATATTGTTGCATGTTATGTTGCATGTTGTTTTATACTGTTGCATGTTGTTTTATACTGTTGCATATTGTTGCATGTTATATTGTTTCATATTGTAGCATGTTGTTTTCATATTGTCTTATATTGTTGCATGTTGTTTCATACTGTTGCATATTGTTTCATAGTGTTGCATATTGTTTTTATATTGCTGCATCTTGTTTCATATTGTTGCATGTTACATTGTTGCATATTGTTTATTCAGCAGAACAGCTTGGGGTTTTGAGAAAACAGACTTTTAACTCGAAGTACTGTGACAAACAAATGCCTGGCAAAAAATTTATTTATTTTTCTATTCAAAGCTCTTAAAGGGGGAAGGATTCATAACAGAATCACTACAAAATTGGTGGTGTGTTTCCCTAGGGCATTGCAGTCCTTTGGCTAAGATTAATGAGAAGAGACACCTCTAATGATGAAATAGGCAGGAGAGGTGGTGAGAGTCTAGTCTGAAATCTTAAAGTATTTCTCACAAGTGTGAGGCTCAGATTCCAGGTGACTCTCACCTTTCTCCATTTTATTTTGTTTTTAGGAAACTTCTCCTATCAACTCAGAAACCCCTCCAGGAACTGGCTACGGCTTCCCTACCTTCCATTTGACCCCTCCTACCAAGACAATCAGCACCCAGTAATGATCCAACTGTAATGGCCTTTAGGCCTTGGGTATCCTTACAGCCTGGGTTGAGCTGATCTGCAATACCATTACTACTCCTCAACTGGCCCCAAGTTTTAGAAGATCCTTAGCCTTGTACTTGGAGGATTAATACATTCAGTGTTGGCTAGTCATATTTTGAATAAGATTTTTCTCTCTTTAAATGTCACCTCTCCTCATGCATAACCATTTAATTGTTTATAGGTCATGAGCTATAAAAGTCTAGCCTAAAGCTTACTCATTACATTTGAGTTGAGTGGAATTAAAAGTCTGGACTAGATAAGCATGAGAAATTTAATCTAAAAGTTAAATTTTCTTAGAAATGTAGAAAGGAAAAAATATCTTTTTAATTTGACAAATTAATGTATGTTAATGGAAAAAGAGAGGAGTATGATTCATCCATTTAGTCTACAGGATTTATCAAGGACATAAAATGGTCT